AATTTGGATGACAAATTTCTAATTTAGCCAATTCCATATAGCCTAAAGCACTTAATAAATAAGAACATTTTAGAAGCTGACCATTTTTGACACACTTTGGTTGATTATTATTGTATCCAGTGTTGAGTGAACCACATAAATTCACTTGTAATAAAATTAGCATCGCAGATAATGTAATTATACAACTTTGATTATCGCTTTGAATTAACATTTTAATGAAACCGACGATTATAATTTTATAAAATTAATTATATTACAGTATTAGAAACGTAAATTATTGAAAACTGCAATTTCTTAGCATTACTGATTAAATAAATGTTATTCACTGTTTAAAGTTTAAAATAAATAAGTTTACATTAATATGTTCGAATATAGAATTTATTTCTATTTTATTTATTCAGATATTAATATAACAATGATGTAATCGTGANCCATTTTATTTATTCAGATATTAATATAACAATGATGTAATCGTGAGTATTTTTAAGGTAAATGTTCACCTTTACTATTTTTTTTCATTCTATTGTTGTTTGTATGGTAATAAATTACTTCTAAATGAATACTTCAAAGACATAAAAATGCTATTTAATTTAAAATTTTTTTTTTTTTTTTTAAGAGCTGTAATATACTTAAAAGACATAAAAATGCTATTTAATTTAAAATTTTTTTTTTTTTTTTTAAGAGCTGTAAATGACTTGTTTATGATCTTTTGACATATGGTTCATCAAAATCGATCCAATAATAGCTGAGAATAATTGGTAACAAACAAAAAAACACAAAATCATAATAAAATCATAACTTTCCATCGGAGCTAACTTGTGCAATAACAACCTGTAACTGTACATTGCATTTGTTAAGAGTACTACGCATGGGATTTAGGTTCATCGAACACACACGGCAAACATAAGATGATCACACTATAATTTTACTATGCTAATAATATTGTGTTGTACGTTATGTTCTGATATCACAATATTGTTGTGGGATGACATTGTCTAATAGCTTATTTGACTATAACCACGTGTGTTGTTGTTACACTGTGCTGAACGTCGTCGTCACCTATACGAAACAGTTACAAGTAGTGACTTAACGCAAAAGTAAATCCGACCTGATTGTATGTATTGACAGATTTAACTTGTGTATACACAACCGCGTTAGTCAGTATTGGAATTATTCGCTCGAGAATCACAACTACACTCGACAGTTATTATAATTTACAGATATTATAATTCACTAATGGAAGTTCTAGAAACATACTGGCCGTAAAACAGATTTAATAGATTCAACGCTTGTGACATATGTGATTATGTACAAGCGCCGCATGAATAATGCAATAACGAAACCCGCGTTTGTTTATTTACTTTGTAATCACAATTAATGTCGTCGTTTTCTTCACAAGTCTGTGATTATCGCCTCGTAATCTGTTATTATGCATACAGTGCTGTTGCATTTAACCGATAAATGAGTTATTGTTCAAACAAGTTACATATTTCGGTAGCAAAACCTCTTGCCGTAAAAAGGTGTCGGAACTCATCACGCGTATGACGCCGCCAATCGATTCGAGAATAAAAGAACAGTTTTACTATTAACAACCCAACGATTTTGCAGGGAAATGAATCGTCGTAATCTTATCCGCACCGGTAAACACGAGTACGGTTTTTTCGCGACAAGAAATATCATTCTTTGGTTGGGTTCGGCAACAGCAGAATTATGGTAAAATTCGCGTACAAAGAACATATTGCTCGAGGGCGTAGGTACATATTATATTGTGGGCATATGTATTATATGCACAATGCGCATAACGTACGCATTGAACGGCCGTCATACGCGCAACAAATAAACGACATTGTTACCGATTAATGAGTGGCTGGTTTCTATGTATTTTCCCTTAACAAAGTTACAAAAAACGACGGTATTTCTTTTTTCATCACCCTCGCATGTAGCACCGGCCCACAGCGTACGCTCCGCTAGTTCGTCTATTGTAAAACGTTTAACCGGCAATCGGTTTTTTTTTCCTCGATTCTATTATATTCACACGGTCGAAAATGATTTCAAGAATTTCTGGGCGACACGCAAACGACGACGTTTTAACATTACTATTATTGCAATAATCGACGCCATACGGCGGCATTAAAGGGACCACCGCTCCACACGAGTCGACTACACATGTTGCAAATTATGTTACATAAAACCAAAAAATATCCTATTCCACGACGACACACACTAAAACCGTCGTCGCCCGGATTTCGACATCAAAACGCGGCCTAGTACATAATAAGATAAAAGCAACCGCACAATGTCGTCTCACATACTATTCAATTTACCGATTGTGGACCGGTCACTCTCAATGCCAGACAAATTATTATCAATACTCCGAAATTGCCCCTTTTGCCGGATCGATTTCCAATGCTAAGTAGGTAATGAAACATCATGATGGGAAAAATCACAGAAGCAAACGACTGTGTAATTTATGGAGCGTGGAGAGAGCTTACGGAAGTCCGGAGATAAGGGCGTTATTGTTTTGTATACATATATAATTGCAGCTGAGAAAACGATATTTCTTATTTTACGAGGAAAAGATAATTACAAAGATAAGTAGGCGGGTTTCGAAGGAATCTCGCGCATAATTCTTTGGCGACCATCATAACGACGGATTAAAATTATTATAATTTGTTTTTTCTTTGCAAAACCGTACAGAAGTATATACTGAGCACCGGAATAAATCTAAACGGTTATTTTCCCGGCGTACACGAACTAACGCAGTTAATTTTTTGTCACTTACAGTCGGTAGCATAATCTTATTAGGACAATTCTTTCCTTCACAAATCCTTAATATTTATCTAAATAGACGCTATTACGTTAATGCGCTCATTACAGAAACTATTCAAAACTCAATAGCACTTATTTTGACAGTTTTTATAGTTTAACACGATAAAATTGTTTTGTATACGCATCGTGAATTGCAAAATCCGCTAACCTTAGAATTTTATCTAAGTTGATATTTTTTTTTTATCGTCGGTAAAATATATTTTTGACTTTTTGATATTGCTACGGAAAGGAATACACATAAAAAAAAAACGGCACTAAATGTTAGATTTAAACAAAATGAAGAGTATACTACCTACCGCTTAATTATATTGTGTTTTGTAGGTGCAGAGCATGTAATGATAACGACCAACCGACTATAATATCGAACAACAATTGAGGGGTTGCAAACTACTCCGGGTTTCACTCCCTCTCTCACTATTATTTCTATATCTAGGCAAACAGGTTTTTTTTACCTTGTAAATAATGGCTTTATTGTTTTTAATGACTTTATTTAGAACGTAAGAGGAATGGCGGCTGTACCGACGTACATGATACACCTTACAGTAATAACGATTCGCAGCTGAAGAAAATACGATTTAACTTCTTCATTATTGATCACTGGGTTATTTGAAACCAATTGGCAGTTAAACGTTACTTCACTTACAGCATCTAAAAATGTCTATCCTTACAAGCCTTTATTTGAGTCGTGGTCTGTTTCAAGAGTCCTCTTGTCGTCGGTAAACAATTTACTTAGTACACACGATCAATTAAAAGCAAATTACATTACGTTCGTAATAAGAAAAGTTTATTACGACCATAAGACGACCCGTCAAAAATAAGTTTAAGAAGACTTCACATGTTCCTTCAGACACAGCTCCTATACGGCTGGCCAATTAAAATACTATTACTCATCAGCTATCATCGTGAACATGTCACCGTGACGTGATAAACCGACAAAATAAATACAGTCATTAATTTACGTGCACTTATAAGTTTGTTGAAAAAAAGTACGATTTGACAACAATTAATGCTACAAGTTAGTTATAATACACAGTCATCCAATAAACAAAGTTATTGTCTTATATTTGGAATCCAAGACTGTGATAGAAATTCTAAAGTATTTAATTATAATAACAAATATAAATGTATAAATAAATATGATTACATCTTATGTTGTTTGCATTTCAATTCCACACAAATCAAATGTTTTCAAACAGAAAAGAGATCTGGGAAGAATTCGCGACGACAACATTTCAACATTGAAATTTGCGACTTTTTATGGAGATCACAGTAATATTTTATCTCTTAGTAATAATGTACACGAATGCCACAACTCGTCGAGTGTACACATAAATTAGGATTAAGCGACGGCTAAAGCTATTTATTTCAAACGGCCATAGATATCTTATGTGTACGCAACGATGTGCCGGATGGATGCGACTATTTCCTGTAAAACGTACAAGCTCATACTCTGCAATAGTTCAACACTATGTTTTTACTACACGTATACCGAATGCACTCATTAATTATTTGTTTACTGGTTAGGTAAACAATTACAATAGCTTTTGAGCGATTGTTTTTATCCACAAGAACCGGGATGAGTAATATCATCTTGATCAGACTTCCAAAAATTAAGTCAAGAGTAAAATTAAACGCGACCGTTTCACCGCTGTTTATTGTTTTTGTGTATACTTAAGTGTACTCGTTATTTGATTTGGATTGCTTGTCCTCATTTATCAAATGAAAAACAAACTAAACAATATCGTGACATTTATACGACCATTTCCAGTCACTATCGCCAGCAACGAGTAACTTTTACCAATTAACTTTAAGAAAGGCAAAAGTATGATCAATTGAACAATGTTACGATTTGTAAACGATTGGGTCATCGATTGGCAAGTGAATTATCAGATTCAAAGAGGCGAGTTTGTTTTGTTAGTATTCATTTACTTTTTGTTAAATCAACTTAAGGAAGAATTAGGAAAAATATGATTCGGGCGAATCATGCAAATTTAGAAAATTCAGTAAGAAGCTGTGAAAGATTTTATTTTGAAAATTTCTTTGGCCTTTATTGAGTAGTAATCTGTCAAATAACATTTTCAGACCCATCAGAGCAAATTTATTATAGAGTTCTCAAGGAAACTAAAGTTTCGAATCCTTAAAATTTGATTAGAATGAGGTTAACAATTTACCTTGAAAGTAGTTTCCTAGACTTTGTCTAGTCTAGGAATCATCGGCCGTCGCTTATCTCTTGTAACAGTAAACAATAAAAGCTCAGCAGCGAAATCGTCGCGCATTTAACGCACTGAACTCGCGATTCAAACGGACAGATAGCAACCGACGAACGATATCACTGGTTCAGCCGGCGAGACGAACAGCATTTTCCACAAAGGCACTTGTGTACTTAAAATTTGTTTCTATGTGTGCTTATAATATTAATGTTTATTTAGAAGACAAACGCAACGACTAGATGAACGAGGCGAGAAAAAAAATGTTTATCAAAAGTATAGGCTGTCGAATTTCGTTAAATGACGTCGGCACACGGTCGACAGCAGAGTACTACTGAGAGATAGGAGACTGAGCACCGGCACCACCACCGGGTAGAGAGCATGCACGGCGGTCGGTCATACGTTTAACGAAAACATGCACGATGGCTGCGCGCGACGACGATGATGACGGCGGCAATGGCCGAATATATCTATACACCGAATGTATATAATACTATATACTACTTATGTGTGTATGGTCGGGGTACCGAGTAACCGCGGCCGCTCGGGATTAAACCGGTTCCTTCGCGGTGGTCACACGGACTGGTGCGCGAGCTACCTCCCAAGCTGCGGCTTGTTGTAAAGGCGCCTGCAAGACACAACCGTACAACGGCGGCCGCGATGCAGACTCTCCCAACAGTCAGCACACATACCAAGTTCGCATCTTCATCACGCCGTGGCAACGACGGTGGCGGTAGTGGCCACCAACAACACGCCATAACAACAACAAGGCACGCACGCATCAGATTGTGTGCGTATACCCAGTCGTTTTAAAATCGTCGCTATTATTATTATATCGGGGACATTAAAATTCAGCCATGATACGAGGTGACCGCGCGCTAAAAGTAGAAGCCACCGCGGTGGCATACGTGTGTGTGTGCGATCTGAAACGAGTTGGATACTGCTTACGTGTGGCCGCCACCGCCACCGCTGGAATGAACACAACGTCTCAATACACAAACTCGATCTGCAAAGAATTTCCCCTCGAACAAACCCATCGACGCCACTACCTAATTCTTTGAAAAACCGCACATTTAATCAGACAAAAGGGTTTTTCCAGTGTTTGATGTTTTTATTTTGTTTATGAAACCTAAGCAAATATATCAAGGAAATTTGGACGTTTTGACAGCAACCGGTAGGCGCACTAAGCGTACGGAACAGCAGTGCCCTTTTGTGTACACAGGACCCATCCCGTAGCGGTACACCGCAGCTCACAAAAAGCGCACTCGACGTAAGCAAACAAAACGTTATTTGAAAATATAGTATAATATTAATATCGTGCAGTCCATTAAACGGCGTGGTGCACAACTTGTACCATTATGACTAGCTCTGACGGCAGCGTGTTGTAACAGACCATTTCGATGTTACATAAAGATGTTCACTTCTAGAGAAAATCGCACAGTTTGTTATTGGCGTTCAATATTTCCTAGGAAATATGATCACGTTCGTTTTTTTTCTTACAAAACGCATTTATACGGCCGTACGGTTCCTCTCATTGTGCAGTTGTGTCTGCGCCGTGATCGGCACCATAACTTTATGTCTGATGTCGATCGGTCGCACACAATTCCGTGCGGCACGTACAGTGTAAATTATGTGGCACGTCTGTACTTTGACCGGAATAAAATTCGTTAAACATCAATTTAGTTCGGACGCGTTCCCTAAGGACCTTCTAAAATACCGAGTTGCTAAAAATTCGCCGTATTCGACAAAGATTAATTGGACGGTAATTGAGAGTTTCACTAACTAGCCACATGATTCACACCGTAAAAACAAATCATTAGTGAAATCGCATATAGACACGAGTTAAAAAATGTATTCATCCTTGAAGTGTACAAAAGAATAACTGGAAAATAATTCACAAGAACATTTTGTTAGCACGCCGTTTTGAAACGAAAAACTTGAAATACTAATTAAGTAATCAATATATATACTTTCTTTTACATTAATATCTATTTATCAAGAATGTTTTTTTTTTTTTGAAGTTGTATTTCATCGTTATTCTTTATGTTCTTTTAATGACAGAAAAGAGGTAAACGTGACATTAGCACAACCGGTTTAATTCTGGTGTTATACGACAAACTAGATAAATGACAAGAGGCTAAGGATAAATAATTGTGTCTGTAGTTTATATAAAACGGTTGTAACTGATCTAAGATAATAGTAATACAAAAAAGAAAAAACAATAAAATATATTATTTCTCTTATGCTCGTCTAATATGACGAGTTAATAAAATAATTATTATCGCTCTGGTTGCAGCAGTCGCCGTCTTAAAAATTATTACCCTGGAAAAGTTGATTGCGCCCAACGATCTGATCAAATCAAAAACGACAGAAATGTGTTTATAAAAAAATTAACACTTCCTCGCGTTCCCTTTCGTTTACGACCGGAAAATTGAATGCATTTCGGTACAGTTAAGTCGGTCGTAATTTGTAACGCATTAACGATTAAGAATTATACAAGTCTGGACTGCCGTTAATGTGATTTTAACTTTATTGAGTTGTACAATATTATGTCAGCCGAGAATAATGTGATAATCTATTCGACGATATTACTGAAAGTGTTACAACACATTAACGGGAAGAGGCTCGTAGAAGTGTTGATAGAATTAAAGCGTAAAAAAAAGCGACGGCGGAAGAAGCCCGTTGATTTATTTTAAAAACTCGTTGAAAGCAGAACTTATCCGAAATCCACTAATTGGTACAATAACTGCCGAGCATTAAGTGTCACAGCTACGCGGGTCCCACTAATTATGTTGTGCGCAATAACATTTCCGGATAACTTTTATGGGGTATAAATAATACAATTATACTTGTATAATATCTATTTGGTAATGCACGTGGTGATATTCACTCATAAGTGTAGCGTCACAATGCGCGTATAAAATAATTAAAAATCCTCTCGGACTTAATCGTATACCGCAAGTGTTGTATGGCATATAAACATCTGAATCCCTTTAAAATAATGCAACACGATGGCCGCAAATCATCTCTTTTCTACTCGATTTACTAAAAGTCATTACCAACAATTCTGTGTATGAGTCAAAGTACATGATCAACGTTTGATGTTAGTTTAGTAATAATCTTGTAAGGTTTAAAGTACATTAGTAGGGGGTGGATAGACACGTTCATCACAGGAAAACTTTTGTTGTTCACAAAGCTGCGTGTTTTGCACATATGATTTTTATTTCATCACAATATTTTTAATTATTATTAAGTACATTTTAACATTCGGCTTTACCGATTTAAAGTTCCAAAAAAATGTACTATAACTAAGCTAAATTGATCAACGAATAATTCAATAATTCTGTTATCCGGAAGCTAAGTACTCTTGCTCAGTGACGTAATTAGGCTTTCGCTTGTGAGGATATACATAAGAAAATTGATCACTTCCCCTCTAAAAAAAAATTGTATTTTCACCATACAATTATTTTTATTATGAGGAGGGATAGACACCTATAATTAAGCCAGTGCTCTTGATCGTCAACTCCGATAACTTTTAGAAATATTAATGATATGTAAATCACATGATTAATATATGCCATAAGAACGTCGAATAAAATCTACTAATGATGTTCTTTACTGTTTGTACAATACGTCAAAAATAAGAAATAACATATCATATAAATCAAACGAAGTAATGAATATAAATATAAAATGACGACAAAATTAAATGAATTTTAAATAATCTTGTTAGTGACCCATCAGAATTTTCAATTTCTTCGTATTCGTGTAGTCTGTTTTGTCGAAGACATTAATAAGCTTTTAAACGGTTTTATTCTTAACAAATTCATAACTAATCAAAAATGATATTTAAAAATATTTCAAAAATAAGATGTTTGTAATTAGTTTTTATCATACAATATCGTGAACTAAATTTCCTGTGTCTTTTTGGCACTTGTCAACATTACAAATGTCTTTGAGACAAAATTTGAAAAGAGTTCAACCAAGTCTTGTGTCTAACATATTTGATTGGATACACCAATCACTTCCTGAATTTATTGGAATGTTATTATGAACATCATTATACCTCAAACCTAGATCTTAACACTTTTATCCTAAATTCCAAATCGATAACATAAAAAAAAAATTTTTTCGAGATCGCCGAATTCAAAACTGATAGTTCCACTTTTATAATTTTAAAATTTTGATGGATATCTCAATAAAATTATAATATATTTGAATTTATACGGATTACAAATTAATTATAATGTATAAATTAATTCGAATTTCGTCAGTTTGCGGGTAACAGCATTTATAGAAATATGAAGTACCTGGTAATTTTGAAATTACTGAAGACTTCTGAATAATTTCAATAATCAAGAGAAAGAAGAAACCATCTCGAAGGACAATTCAAATTTAATTTTAAAAAAAATTGTGTATTTAAATCTTCTAAAAGTACGCTAGTATTTCCCTACTATAATATAATAAGATTAAGATGTTCAACGGCAAATTATAATTATTTTAATATGTATTAAAAATTGATATGAAATAATTACCATTTTTCTTTGTTAATACTTAATGTGACATTCATTAGATCCATATCCAAATGTATCTTTTAGAAGATTGAAATATAGCACCCAACTAAACATCGTAAATTTTTGAAACATTAGTTTTAAAAGAAACTACTTATATTTAATAGAACATATTCCATGAATAGTAATTTCTATACCAATAGACCTTCGAGAGTTAAAATATTTCCTAGAGTATTTTTTTCATCTCGACATTGCTTATACAAAGTTTTCGTTAACTATAAAAATTTCACTTTTATTATTTATTTAAAATGAAGCTTTAAGAGTTTATTTCTAAAAAAAAGTTGCTGTACAGCCGAGAACTAGAGTAGTGGATATCTAACAGTGATAAAAATCTATTTGTTGCATATTTACTTCGAGTGGTTTATGTTGTAAAATAGTGTACCTATCTAAAAGAAAAAATTCAAAATAAAGCGTTTTAACTGTACTTTAGCAATCCCTTTTATGACAGTAATAATTTATATTTATTCTTAATAATTTAACAAAAAAAAAAAAATAGGTATTTTTCAATTTAATGACTTCTATACTGTCTATTATACTTTTAGAAATTAAATGACTTGAACTTTATACAACTTCATTTAACCCAAACTTGAAAAAGTTCAACAAACATTTTGGTCCATAGGGTTTAAATAGTTTAAAGGCCACGAGAGAAGTGTATTTGTTTTAGGAGCACATAAAAAGTTGACGAATGAGTAGAAAAAATGAGAAGAACGAATAAGGGAAAGACGTCGGATGTTCTACATGGACGTTGAAAGTAATGTAAACTTATAGGCCATAGTTAAGCATTTAATGAAGCGCGATTTGTAAACGGTTGTTGTATCATTTTTTATGCGCCACTACCGGCAAGAAAAGGTTTAATTGTCAATAAGCTAAACGTTTCTATTCACGCACACGTCTC